GTTACCAGCATAAGGAAAAAATAATGATTATATCAAATTTTTAAAAAGGCATGGTCTTGATTATTCAACACAGCACCATTCGGGATTTAATAGTGATCTTAAATTTTATGCAGTAAAATATATAAAAACAAACAAGTTTTTTTCTTCTGTAAATTGTTTTGGAAAAATAATTATAAAATTATTTGAATAATGTCACAAGAAATACCAAATGAAAATCAAATATCATCCTATGTTACTGATACCTTCTTTAAAGATATCTTCCTTACACAATTGGTGTTATTAGAGATGATGAATCATTAGTAATCCAAGTGTTATTAATCCTTTAAAGACATTTTTAAATAAAGCACTTATATTACATGTGGCTCTTGAAATATCCAGATTAAGTAATCCCAAAATTGACAATCATTACACATTACAACAAATAAAGGAATTGTATTATTTAACTAACAATCTGATTATTCTGAACACATCTCAAAAAAATTGTTGCTAATAAAATTAACCTGCCAGCATTGGTTCCATTAAGACATCGACATGTAGATCACACTGATAATATATATTATTGCTAACTGTTAATACAATCAGTCACTCACTATTAATTATGATAGAAATCCTTTCATAATGTCTTTTGAGTATACATGGGATGGTAATTACCTAATTACCGTAATATGTAATTTGTAATTATCATAATTAATTACCACTGTCACCGATTAAATTTGGGAGAGCATATATTTAATTGGTGATGACAATTATTTTTGTTTTGTGTGGATCAGAATGAATAGGAATCAATGAATTGATTTTGGTATTAGCGAATAATTTTGGTTAAAGAAAATAAAAGTTTTAATAAAATATTCTATTTTATTTATTTAGTTTTATTTAGTCGAAACTAATTAACTGTAAGAAAGTTGCTTTTACATTAGGTCGAAATCAAATTCTTTATATACATGTTCATTTACATATTAGCCCGAATTGCGCGATTCCGCTCAAATTGTGCGTTTTCGCTCAGATTGCGCGAATTCGCTCACTTTGTTTTGAGCGATTCCGCCCGTTCCGATAAAATCGTCATTAATCTCTACTAAATAAAGTTAAATAAATATGAATGTGCTAAGGATTGATTAATAATAATAATTAAATACGCGAAACGTAACACGAATTCAGATGATAATAAATAATTATACACGTTATTGATAAATAAAAATAGAAATAATAAAAATAAATAATAGATTTAACAAATTATCGTCGTCATCATCTGATCCTGGCAACACCACTTTAAAAACATAATTATGGGTGACAAAATTAACAAATGACAACAAATTAATTATTAGAAATATCATAATACAGAATAAATGCTATTTGAAATCAAAGAAATTGTTAACACCACTGGTTAACCAACATCAAAACTTTTGCTTATACCAAAAGAAAATAAACAAAATCACAGAGCTCTACACCACTCTGATAACCAAATGGACAATTAAACCCTACTGTTTAATTTCCAACTACAAAATTGTTTTTACAAGCAAGACAAAGAATTTATTTATTTATTATTATGGTTTAACAAAAATATTAAATATAAATTTTATGGATTTTACATCACCAATAATTAATTTCTTTTTCTCTGTATAATGAATAATTTCATCACTCATGGTTAATGTAATTAATTTCGTATTAGTATTATTATTACTACAGTACAATAATAACAACAGATTATAATTAAATTTGTATTTCAATGGATTTTAAACAAAATTTTCTTATATGTCCTTCCACTCCATTGAATGAGGGTTGTTACTATTACATATTACGTTTTCGGCAAAAAATTACCATTCCATGTGTACTCTTGAGATGTCCAACAATTACCTTTACACAATAGTACATGAAACTCATGTTATCAAAAAAAATCTATCCATATTTACACACATTGTACAATGCATAAAAAAATCATTAAAGAAAAGTCCTTTTGTAATGCCTTTTCGAATGTCTAATAATTACCTTTACATGACAACCATGTTATCAAAAAATTTTATTAGCATCCACGTTTACATGCATTGTACAATACATAAAAAAGTTTATTAAAGGAAAGTCCTTCCATAATGCCTTTTGAAATGTCTAATGATTACCTTTACATGAATGACACCCATGTTTTATTTAAATCTCTGAAAACACCTTTTGATATTCATGTTCATATGTATGATGAAATGTATGACAATGTCAACACCCTATTTAAATATATAATACAATGATTAAAAAATGGCATAAAAAAAAACCCATATTGACAGCAAAGTAGATATTTAAATGCAATCTAATTGTTTCCATCCAGTGAGTATTACTTACTAGATGGGGTTTTGATATAGGGCAATGATTCGGCAAAGGATTATTATGAGAAAGTGAAAAAATATTATGTAGGTTACGATTAAGAGCATCTCAGAAAGCAATCCTTCTGTGATTTATCACCCGAGAAACGGGCGAACGTTTTGCGGATTGGAGGACCTTTCGTTAGGTGAGATAGTGGAAAGCCTTGATGCATTTGGCTCTGAGTGGTATGGTGGTACAAAGTAAGGATTGTTCCGAATCTAAGTAATTATATATTAATCGGAATTTGATCAAAGAACTTGATTAGACTATTAGCACCAATGCTAGTGGAATACCTTCGAATATATTCTCAATATGGGAAAAAACTCGCCTATAAAGTTCGTGAAACATTTTTGATCTAATATCATAAGATTTTAAATTCGTAATTATTATATTTTTTTTTTCTTTAAAAAGCTTAATTAAATCCGCATATTTGAATTATATACTAATACTAATACTGTTTTGCAGATATTTAACGTAATGCGTTCCTCTAATCGTTGAAAAAAAATATATATACCTTTTATATAGTAACTTTTTGACTGCCTTCTTTATAGTATGTATCATAATCATCTTAAGGTTTTGCATGTGTAATAGCTAGCTCGTAATATCGTTTCGAAACATTTCTCATAATTGGAACACCTGATCGGTAAAGCCATGGAATGATAGCCCGTTGAATAATTTTAGCAGAGTTTGTTCGGGCTTTCATCCATGATCCAAAGACCCTTTGAACTATTTGAGCCGCGTATCTTAGGTATTTCAAGGCAACTAGAAATGTGAATGAGCTCTAACTATCGTAAAATTATCCACAATCTAAATATTTCGTAGTAAAATTTCGCGTATAATTAGCAAGCTCATCATCACTAATAATATGGTCATCTTCATCTTCATGTAAACAATCTCTAGGGCAAGTATACTGTTCAGATGAGTTATAGTACCATGACACACAATATCCATAGTATAAGTAAGATTCCATGTTTATCGGTAATATATTAAAAATACTTATCTTCAGTTTAGCCCTTGAATGAGTCTGAATAGTCCAATTCTAAGTCAACTGGTTCCGAGACTGGTACTTCAATATTTTTATTTCAGAGTAGTAGTGCTTCAAAAAGCCATTATCCTTGACAATAACTAATGATTTGCGTGGATGTATGATTCCATTCCATCATCTATCATCCATAGAAGAATGCTTAATATTATTCGTCCAAATCATGAGACTTCACAAATACGTCTTAATCTAATGTTGTGTATTGTTATATGCACACTAAATCTTTGTTTTTACGAATAAATAAAAGGTACGCATTGTTGTTGTATAAAAACGGTTAAGATTTTTAACATCGAATGAGGTCCTGTGCGTCATATGAGATGTGTCAAAATTTTCGATTTTGCTTGATTCACAAATAATTATGATCAGCAAAGGTCCATAGTAGATAAATTTTTAATGAACTAGTATGAGATTCGAAAAAACAGTGATTGTTGATAACTTTAATAATATGTACCTACAGCATATTGATCGTCCGCGCTGAAATATAAAATCAGCTCGAATTCGAATTCGCATAATTTTTCTACTATATACTACTTCATAACTATAACATTCGAATAAATATAATAAAAATTTGTAATCAAAACGTATAAATTAAAAATTATTCATATATTCGTTAAATCAAAGGTTTATTATATCGGATAATTTATAGATCATTAAATAAAATGAATCATCGAAATTCTTCTTATTTGCTAAAATCATGTTGTACGATAAATATTCAATATAAAAGTATGCGCGATCAAGTAATTCTTTGTGACCACTTGATTGCAAACGATAATCTTAAAAATCAAACTATAATTATAAAAAATCCTTGTGAAAAATTTTTCTCATACAGTTTTCTCAAACAACAAGAAATTTGGGAAAGCAAAACAATGCATCAAATTATTGCTTGCGGTCTTGTGATTGATTTTGTTACAAATATATCTACAACATGGTTTATTTACTAAAGTTATAAGACATGTTTTTTGGGCATTTTCAATCAATTAAAAATGTTGAAGTGGAGAGTTTGAAGCAGGGTTGGCAAATTGACTGGGAACAGATGGATTTTGGAATGGTCCATTGCCATTAATAAACTACTAAATATTAAAATGTTACACTAATGAACCAAATGGACCACCAATAGACCATCAATGGACTGCACATTTGCCAATCCTGGTTTGAAGAAATGAGTGATTTCGAACTTGAAACACTAAGAACCTTCATTAGAAACGACATAGATTGCTATAGGATTAGGTGATTATATCACTGAGTATTTGTTGAGCTGTTATGTATCTGAAGTTATGCTGTGTAAATCAGAGGATCGAAAGCTCTTTGTGGCCACAGCTTGCGAAAGTCACCAGTCAGGTATTCAGACTTGATGTATGGTGGATGACCTGCTGTGAACATTCGAACTCTGTTACTAAAAAAACTGCACTGGCTTAGCCCTGGGTTTGTGGTGAATAGGATACATTAACATCAGATGAAAGCATATCATAGCCATAGTTACATATAACTGTGAACATTCTTTTTGGTTCTTGACAATAATGACACAAATGCTCACTTTTTTTTATTTTGATATTTCAGGGGACGGTGGTGAGATTTTATCTAAAGGATATCTATTGTTGGTGCAGTGTAAATAATGGAGACGCAGTATAGGTAATGTGTTGAATATATCTGCTGTATATGTAGATTAAATATAAATCTTTGTTAATTTATTATTTATTGTAGGTCACATAATCTACATGACCTAGGGGGTGTCTTTCCAGATATTGCAAAGGAGTTACAATTGGAATCCTTCTAAGAACTAATATACCTCTGGCACATTTAGAAGAGCAAGAACATCTGGTTACAATGTAATCTTAACTGATGTTGGTTACCTGTACCTTGACCTTGCTCAATTCGTTGAAGAACATCAAAATGAAGCACCATTTATTCTCATTCAATTATTGGAAGAACAACAGGCAGAATTATTTAATAGTCTTCTTCGATCTGCAGAAGAATGTCAAGTTGAAAGATTCAACAATCTCACTCGATTAATTGAAATCAACCCCAAACTAGTTTGGGCTTGAGAAAACAGTTTGGACCGGAAACCTTAGTCTTGATAGATTAATAGAAAATCAATGAGCATCTAATTTCAACTACATATTTTATGTTATTATATTTTTATTGACAATATACTGTACATAATTTTTTTTAATAAGTTATGAATTGTTACTTTCACAAGACAATTAAGTGGCTAATTAATTAATTAATTTAACCAAAAATAATTCCTTAATTAAGTTTACAATTAAAATAATTAAAATCATAATATGCATTAAATATATCATCATCATTTATTATTATATTACCATTATATTATTACCATTATTACTACTAATCAATACATTTGAATATATTTACACTTACATACATCCATCCAAGAAGAGGTACCTAATTATTACATCATATATATAATTCTAAAAATTTTTATATTATCTTAAACATGAATTCAATCAATAAAGAGTTTTGCATTTTTATTGATCAGATATCTCACATTTTTTTTTTCATAAAAAATAAGCCAATTATTTAACTTGCTAGCTCCATTTAGAATATTCAAATTGATGTTATTATCTATATACCTCTTCATAATCAAATACCTCTTTCACATCCTGTGTCTTCTTATTTATGACAGTTATATGGCCCTCATGAATATGTGATCATATTTATCCTGGTTTTGAAATTGAAAATTAGAAGGTCGAATCCAATCATATGATCCTAAAATTGCAAAATCAGATATCTAATTTCCTTTTATATTAACAAAAAAAAAAAGAAAAATATCTTATCTAAAATAAAAAAGAAGTGGATAGTGTTGTTAATTATTGCTTTAATTGGTTATTCAAAGTAAAAATTCAGATAAGAGGTATGTCAAATTGCAAACAAATTTTTTGATCCAGTAATATGTAAAGGTAGTACACCAAAGTGCAAACAAATTTTTTGATTCATAACTATTGAATAATTGATAAAATGGTTGTTATTATATTTTGCAAGCTTCATAGATCTTGTCCTTAATGCTTACTTCAATCACTCCTACACAAACTATTGATAAAACGTTTGTTAGTATATTTTGCAAGCTTCATAAATCTTGTCCTTAACACTTACTTTGATCACTCCTATACATAATACATAAAGGTGGTATGCCAAAGTATAGATCGATTTTTTGGTAGTACCCAAAAGTACCAACTATGTGAGAGATTGAAAAACATAGTGTAATTTTGCTAGTAACCCAAGGTAAAATTACAGAAGACATATAAAAATTATACTACCAGTGGTAAACAATTTTTTTGATTCAGTAGTATCCAAAAGCACCAACTATACAAGAAAGGTTTCTAGAGATCAAAACTTTCAGTAGTACATCAAGGTATAATTACTACAGAAAACTATATATATTATAAAGATTATGCATTTGTGTCTATAAAGTGGGGATAACAATCCAGCACTTCATGCCTCATCCTCAAATTCAAATGGAATGTAAAAAGTGAAATTGGTGTATTTCTTTTTTTTTTTTTTTTGATACAAAGTAGGGAATAGAGGGTCTATTTATATGTTTTTGTAGCAATTTATTAAACTACCCAATCAACGCATCATCCAAAACCAGATCACAAATACTATTTCAGCACTACATGCCTCATCCTCAAGTTTTAATGGGTCATAAAAAGCAAAATTGATGTATGTTTTTTTTTGGTCTACAAGTAGAGGTCACTGAGTTTACTTTCCCAAAAAGAAATGTTCACATGTGGCCAAAAATTAAAAATGGGTCACATTCCTAGACTATAAATATCTCAGGTATGTGACCAATAATTAACATGTGGCCTGATGACAACAATTGGCCATGTTGCTATCTGATGGCAGTTCGCATGTGACCAATTTTCATAAGTAAGCCTATAAGTAGGTAACAGCATACCATAAGTAGGTAACAATACGTACATATTGTTACCTACTAAAATTAAGAAGCAAGAAGCAAGAAACTATATATTTATATCATATTATTACTATAAAAAATTAAAAAATTTCAAACAAATTAACTAAAACATAGATAAATAACCATCTATTCCCAATCCATAAAGTCTGGTATTCCCTTTGTAATTCTTTCAGAATCTAATTTTAATAAGGAGTTTTTTAACTCATAAAAATGGTTTTTGTTATTTTTCATTTGTTCATTATAAAATTCCAATTTTTTTTTGACAAGGTTTTCCTGCTCTTTAATTTTTTCAATCATATTTATAACAATAACCAATTCTTCTTTAAGAGTGTTTCTACCATTGTTATAAATTTGTTTGTTAATATCAAACTTCCTTCGTTGATCCTGTGTCTGATTTTCATAAATTTGTTGTTGCTGTTGAGGCTGTTGACACTGCTGTTGAAGTTGTTGCAAAAGCATTTGGTTTCGTTTTAAGTATTTTTCTTTCTTATTTTGAATAAAGATGTTGAACTGATTCTTAATTTCTTGAAGATGATTAATGAGGCTTTCTTCTTTAACAACAAGATCTTTTATATTCTTGTCAAGTTCACATTGTAGAATCCGATATTGTTTGAGTTTCATAATACACAACTCATGATTAGATTTTGCCTCATCCATCATCTGGAGCATCTCTTGTTTGTCATGCTTAAGAAGGCGGTCTTTTTCATACAAGTAATTCTTATTGATCAATTTTGTCATTGATGATTCATGAAAATGGTGTGAATGGGAAATCTTAATTTCTTTTAAAAAAGAAATATAATTCTACAAATAAAGAAAAGTAATCTGTAGATTATATAAATAATGATAATGATGAAAGAGAAATCAAATTTGTTGCACAAAATTGTTTATTATTTTTAAAATATGCAGATTTTCCGAACACAAGCAAATACTCGGAATATAGTAACAAGTAAATTTCGCGAAAAATATTTAACATTTCATTGTCTCTTGTTTAAAAGTCTAATTGAATTTATTTTAATGAGGAAGAAAAAATAATTGAGTCTAGGTACATGATAATTATTGATGGAAGTAAGCTTTATAATTTTTCTAATAAAAGTTTCTGAAAATAATGTTTTTAAATAATGAAAATAAAATTTAAATGACACAGTCATACATAAATCAATCAATAATAATAATGGTGCCATAATTAATCGATGGTGTAAAATAAGAAATTAAAAAATGACAGCGAGGGTTTAGACCGGTTAATTCTAGTGTTTTATTCGTAACCTTTACTTTATTATTAATTAATATAATAATAATAATAATAATAATAATAATAATAATAATAATAATAATAATAACAATAATAATAACATACGAAATTTTCGTGTGTTAAATTAAAATATTAACACGTTCTAAAAAATAAATACGGAATCAAACGTATTATGCGATTTGCCATAATGCTAATACCACTAATACGAGGTACGGGATAAGTGTGAGATGTGTAACATACTGGAAAGGTACGCTTTCTTTAAATATCACGTGATCCGAACATATTTTTATTCTGTTGATCTTTCTTAATTTAGTAAATCTTATTTTCATTGCGAATTCCGGTGATATTTTATAACTTGTCGTAAAAGTTCGTAGTGCATGCCTTATGGGTAACCTAACATCGGAATCAAACTGAAGCCCTTTTTACAACTTCCTAACACTAGAATGGAACTAGTACTTTTATAGAAGTTCGGGTGTGTGTGTATACTCTCATACTTAGTATTAAAAACACTAGCTCTTAGTATTAGCTTAAAGTATTATTTTTCCACTCTCTTTCGCCATATTTCGGGTTGAGAAGAGTCTGCCGAAATCTTATTCGGCAACAAAAATGCTAGTTTTTAATTCTCCTTTGCACGTGATAAACCCAGAAGGCATCATTTCAAAATGATTACAGAATATTCATAGAGCGTTTCTTCGTGATAATCCTTATTATTTCCGGTTTTTCACCTTTAATCGGCTTTTTATCTTCAAATGTTGTCTCATTCAATGGTCGTTTGGAGGAAGAAGCCAGAAAGCCAATCTAAGAAACTCATTTAAACTTACTTTTAAAGTTTTTTATTGTCGAGAAAAGATGTGTCCGTGTTACATTACAGTTGAAAAAGAAAGAATAAAAAATCTTGCGTTTTTTCAGGAAATGTTACATACGAATTGAATATATCACATGAACACGTAGTAAACATGAAACTCATTCAATATTGAATAGACTTTTATTTGCTATTTTTAAAAAAATACTATATAGCTCTTAAAGTAGGCAAATAATATCACTATTATTTTATATTAACTAGTTTTATATCAATTTAATTGTAAATATATCACTCTAAAATTTATATATAAATTATCACACAAATTGTCATAATAAATAAACGATTATGATGATAATTATAATTAACGTTTCAATGAAAAATTTATTAAATAAACTTGCATTAAATCATGATCAATAAATATTCTCCTTTGTTTGTCTCCCCGCCCTCTATATTTTATAAATTTATAAAGCCATTGCTGCTCTTAATTCTTCTAATTCTTTATCCTCCTCGGATTCTATCACTGTAACAATATAACATTATTAATAGTCACTATTAATTTTTTAAAAAAAGAAGTTTTACTAATTTTACCTAATTCAGTTTTTGGTACTTTAGGTGCTATGAATGGTGGTGCTTCAGCTCCAAGTAATTGACTATCAAGGACTTCTTGTTCTAATTCGTCTAATTCGGCTGTGAGTTCATCCTAATCATAACCATAAAATTTTAAAAATACCCATAATTATAATTAAATAAATCAAAAATATTAAAATGATAACCAACATCATCTATTAAATCAGCGCCAAGCATTGGTGCAGAAATTGCATTTGAAATCTCATCAGCTAAATCCATTTGTTCACGTATAGAATCCATTGTATCATCAACTTTATTTATATCCCTAAATTAAAAGTTATCATTAATGATAAACAAACTTATATAATATGTGTATAATATATATTTATATTTGTAAAATAAATTCATAAATTTACATGGATCCATGTATAGTCTTCATCGCTTCGGCACCTTTCTCCATTGCTTTAATAGTTTCCAAGTTTACACTTGCACTCTCGATTGCCATCATTTGTGTCTCCATTGTCATACGTGTTCCAGATATTTTTTCAATTTGACTTTCATATTGTTTCTTTCTTTTAAGCGCCATTAACGCAGCTAATGTTATTTTTATAAAATGAAAAATAAAAAAGATCTTATATTGTCAGAATAATATATACTATACATATATACATATATATATATATAAATTATATGAAAACTATAGAAAAGCCATTTTTAATAATTATTTTAAAAATTATTTTAAAGGATCAAAAATAAATAAATTATTATTATTACACATATCATCTATTTCATCTTCTTTCTGATATTACTTCAAGTTGAATTTTGTATATAATCTTAAATTTTCAACAAATATGTACAATTTATATAATTTATAATATAATAACATTGCATTGAAAACCATTAACCAACCCATTTACATATATATAATTTAAGGACAATTAATATAGTAAAAAACATCTAAATAAATAAATATTCTTTCATATATATATAAACATATACACATCATATATATATATATATTTATAATTCATAAAAACAAAAAAAATATATACGAAAATATTTTTTTAAAATATTACCTCTTTTGTTGGAAGTTGCATTTACTTTAGCTATCTTTAATTCAGAATCAATTTTACTTTGTAAATGATTCTCTCGCTTCTCCAACATTTGCAAAGTATCCCGTAGTTTAACAATTGCATCTGTAGTATTTGTTTTTGGCTTTTGTCGAGGAAAAAAAAGTTGCATCTTTGTCAAGTATTGATAGTAGTTCTTTTTTTAAAAAGTGATAAATAATTCTAAATATAAGCGAATAAATTGTAAATAGGATCAAGTATAGTTATTTATTTTATTAATTATAATGGAGAAAAATCAATATTTTTTCCGGTGCCACGCATAAAAATTTACTATTTTGAATCATAACAATCTGATACATATTAATTGGATAATAGATCAAATGAAAATGTCTGAAAATAACATAGTTTGCCAACGATAAGACGGACATATTGAAGAAAATAACTTTGGCATAGAAGATAACAATAAAAAGGAAAATCTTGAAACAATTTTTATCTTTTTTTAATCTTGTAATCCTCGAGTACATTTTTTTGTCTAGGAAATTCTCATTAAAAGACGAGGAAAAGAAGAGATCAGGAGAATACTAGTAGGTGTTGGGCAAAGAGCAGTTAATTGGGTCAAAGTTAAAATTTGCCCGGTTTGTCTTTTGTTTTTCATTATAACAATTGATTCCTTGATTAGTTCAAAAGAACATTCTTGGAGAAATCTTTCAAACAATATAATTTATATTCCAAAAACGAGTTATAAATAAAAGTATAGTTAAAATTAACAATATCCAACACAAGTAGTATTAGTTGTTGTTTTTTATCATTAAAAATTTTTTTTAACTACATGTCTTTAGTTTTGATGAAGTGCATTTTGCAAATTTGCCAGTTATTGCTTAAAAGAACATATTTCTTTGAAGTTCATCCACCACTTGCGAAATTTATGATAGCAGCAATGAGATGACTATTTAATTTTGATGGACACTTTGAATTTGATAATATTGGAGATGATTATATAAAAACAATGTACCATATATAGGATTAAGAGGTTTACCTACAGCATTAGGTGCCCTCCTTGTTCCATTGACATACATCACCTTGATTGAATCAGGTTATCCAGTAGTAACAGCAACTTTTGCAGCTGGATTAGTTCTTTTTGGCGAGCAATCATTTCATCATAATTGTTTATTTTTGTTCATAGTAATAATTAATGTTATATATTTTTTCAAGACATAACTAATCTCATAAAGTTGGTTTCATATAGACAATGCATTGATTTGTCAGACACAATTGATTTTTCTTGATTTGATGCTTGTATTTTTTATGCTTTGCACTTTTTACTCTTATATAAACTACATTTGAGGTATTCAATTAATCAATCTATTTGTTGTTTATATATATATATATAATTTAAAAAATTATATAGTGTCAAACCTTTAAAGAATATTCTAATGAATGGTGGCTTTGGATGGTTATAACTTGATTTTTTTTAAGTTTGACATTAAGGTAAATAATTGATCAAAAATTTCAATATTACAATTTGATTATTCCAAATGATAATACATATCTATTTAAATTTTTTGTTCTAAATATTTTTATAGTTGGGTTTTTTGCAGTTTTTACAATTGGTGTTGCAGTTTTAATTAATTTATTAGATATACATCGTGGATTGATCAACTATGGTACACTTTTTGAAATGTTTATTTATATTTTATTATTGCTATATATTTTTGGGAGGGACAGATTTTGTTTAAAAAACCAAATTATGATAATTCAAGTTCAACTGACATAAATTTAAAAAACTTTTTTTTCCACATGCAGCTGGCCTTATAACTGTACCAATTTCAGTTCTTTTATTTTGGTTTTGTTTATTTTACTATCTTGAATACAAGTGATGCTGGTGATAATGTTATGAGCCTTGCTTACTCAAAGTTTTGGTAATAATGTATATATATATTTCCTGTTATAATTATATAAATATCAAGACAATTAACATATATTTATTTATATAATATATTATATCATTAGATATCAAGTACAATGATACTATAACTATAAAGCATAAAAGTACTTCAGCATTTTTACATTCCCATACAGAATGTTATCCATTACATTATGATGGTGGTTGTGTTAGCAGCAAAGGTCAACAAATGACAGGTTATCCGCATAATGACACAAACAATCATTGGCAAATTAAAATACCAGGATCTTTATTTGATTCATCAAGACCAGAAAATCAAACATGGTGGTTTTATTAGAACATGTTGGCACTCAATCTTATCTTTTAACTCATGATGTTGCTAGTCCATTAATGCATACAAATCAGAATTGAGCCCAACAACACAGCTCGTTTTAATGATACACTTTTCCAAGTTTTTACTAAAGATGGTGACAAAGAGTCTGTCTTGAAAACCAAGTTAGCTTTTTCATTTAGTTCATTTTTAATACTAAAAATTGCACTTTTGGGCACATGAGTCTAAATTGCCTGAATAAGCATTTGGACAGCAAGAGGTTAATGACAATAAGAAAAATACAGATAAAATTAATTATTGGTTTGTAGATGAGATTGTCAGCTTAAATGGTAATAATATTTAAAATTTTATTTTGGTTCATTTATATATATATATATATTATTATTTATTGTTTTTTTTTTTGGTTAGTAACAATTCCAAAGGAACCTAAAAACCAATTAAACAATTATCTTTCCTTCATAAATTTTTTGAATTTCAAAATCTCATAATGCTGGATTAACAAAAACCTCACCTTATCCAATCAATTGGCCATTTTTAATACACGTTATTTCATTTTGGACAGATAGTGACACTAGGGAACAAATATATCTAATTGGAAATCCAGTTGGATGGTGGGTTGTAATTGGTTTAATAGCTGTTCTTGTTGGTGTTTTAGCAGCTGATATGCTTTCGTGCAAATCCTATTCCAAAGTGTAAGTATTTTATTATAACTAAAATATGTATATATATAATTTAACTTAGATTATTATGATCATTATCATTATAGCTGTTCATAATCATTTATATAATTCCGGATTCTTTTTTATTTTTCATTACTTTCCATTTTTTTAATGGTAGGATCATTACTTTTACATCATTGTTTGCCAGCCTTGCTGTGCAGTTACTTAATATCAAGTGTAGTGTTTAATTTTATGTTTGTTGAATCTATAAATCATCCAATTCCATTCCAATTCCATCAAGATCAAAATGCACATACATATTAAGCACTAAAGTTGATTGGTTGATTGGATTGATTGATTTTAATAATTTAATTTCATTATGCAATAATCAATCTATTTATTATGTAATCTATAAATATTTTTATTTAAAAAATATTTGAGAAAATGATGATTTTTACCAAATGTTTGTTTATAAAAAGGCAACAAATTGAGACATATGAAATGACATCAAATGAATGTATCCTATAATTAATAATCATAACAACAATAATAGAAACATTATTTCAAATATATATTTCTTTTTTTACTTTTTTTACAAAATGTCATCCCAAGTTTCATTTTGTTCAACTTCAGGGTCACTTTCAGAAGGTTCACTGTCATCAATATCTTCATCTTTATGTTTATCAACACATTCTTTAAGGAAATTCAAAATTTTAATTAATATATTGTCAAAAATAATAGAACTACAAAGAAAATTTATTATCATTATCATTATCATTATAATACTTACTGATGCATCGAGCCTTTTCAGCATTTTTTCTTTGGGCCTAAAAGAATTTTAGATAAAATGAAATATGTATTTATATATATATAAATGTATATAAATGTATATAAATGTATATAAATGTATATGGTGTTATAATTACTTTTGCAAAATCACTTAAAGGTTTTTCGCGTGTACAAATCATACAAGTCAAATTTTCATTTTGTTGAGGAGTACATTGTTTACACATTGTATGATGTTTTTTAGTTGTTTTACCACGAGGTGCATAGGCTTTATAGTTGAATATAAAATATCATACATTATCAACATCATAAAAAAAAACCTTTAAAAATATAAAAATAAAAGAAAACTCTTACGATTTTCTATGTTTGACATGGCTTTAGTAACCTGTGTTTTGGAAAAAGAGTGAATCTGCTTATCCTTTTGACAACCGTAACAATAAAGAGTTTTTGGAACTTTTGGTCCTTGTGAGTTAGCACCGGCAGCAGAATGACTACTACTTCCAAATGAATTCATTGATTTAAATTGTATAATCAAAGAAAAGTTTTATTTATTGATTTTAATTTTATAAATTTTTTTTTAAAAGAATCAATATTGGGAGGAGATGAAATTAATTTAAATTATATAAATGATGATGATAATGTGAATTGATAGATAATTGCGTGTCAGTTTTGACCCAAATTTTTCACCCTTTTTTTCATTAAAAGTCGGACAATCTTTAAAATCGTGATAAGCCACTTTAATTATTGTGTAGATCGACATATACTTGCAGAAGTTCACTTAATAATAATAGTAATAATCGTTGTAGTAATTGGTTTTTTTCCTTTGTAATGATAATAATAGTAATTTTTTTTCTACTAGCAATTCTATTTGAATAATAATCGTTAATAATTGTTTGCTTTATGAATGAATCGAATAATTCCAATACTCAAATGGATAAAACAAATAAAACGAATAACGAATAAAACGAATAACGAATAAAACGAATAATGAATAAATGAATTAATATTGAGTTGTATTAACAAATAATTCGAATTAATAATAATAAGAATTTGTATTGCGAATAGAAAATCTAGTCATAAGTCCCATCCAAGCCAATCCAAAAGAAAAATGTAAAGATTCATACTTACACTCTTGAAACTCTAGCGGCGGCAGCATTATTACCTATATTTATTTATCATCATTGCATATATATTATATATTTATTATGTTTTGGTATTTATTAATTGGCGATTAATTACGTGAAAAAAATTTACTTGTGAAATTTACCAAGAAGAAAGAAAATCATAAACATTAGAAAAAGAAAGCAGAATGAAGGTGTACTATTATCCAACAGAAAGCAAAAATCCTTAGAAGAAAAATAATCTTGTTATTACAGTATTGATCTATTTTTTTTTACTACAAAGAAAATTCTCTATGCAAATGTAATATCGCATTGCTTATCTGTTGTTTGAACGAATTTTACATTCAAGAATATGTTATAAATCTGTTTTTTTTCTCTTTGATATTGAAACAAGGTAAATAATCCTGCCTTATGATGAAGCATTATAAAAACACGACAAATTCACTTATTTTTCAGGTGAAAAAATTCAAATAACAAATTCTTCAAATAGTCATTGTTAAACACAATTTAAAAAACAAGTGATCAATTAATATTTTCATCCATAATAACATTAAAAATATGCTTACTTTCAATAGTAAACTTTTTTGTGGATTGTTTATTGGACTCTTACTTCATTATAAAGCTTATAGAAATCATTCTATATTATAAATCAAAAATCGATCAAATAATTGATAAAATAGAACCAAGAAAAAGCCAATTCAAAAACAAAACTAACAAACCTACTGTTGATAAAAAACATTCACAAGTAATCGAAAATATATGGAAGGATTTCAAATAATATATTTGACAAAAAGACTGGATTGAATCCAAATTTTTCAGTGAAATGATCATTGAAATTCGTGAATTACTTGGCGAGGGAAAAGATGTTGCTGCTCTCACAATAAAAAATTTCTACCAACGAGAATGAAGTTGAAGAAGATAATAAAAACAACAATGATATGAATATTAGTAATAATATTATTATTGATAATAATAGCAGTAGTAGTAACAAAGTTGAATTTTTGTCAGATTACCCAAAGAATAGGTAATAATTACAAATGGCTTTGGGTCCGAGTGTTTTCCCTCATGCAAGCGCACTGACAATTCTTTAACTAAAATACGTATGTTTCTATTATTAGTCGAATAAAAATTTCTTTTGTCATTCGTAAATAAATTCCTAGTCATGTGCCCACTAATTTATCATTGGTTGAAATCATAATGATTACGATCTAAATTAATTTTAATTTCTAAATGACAACATTCAACGAAATTAGAACACATACAAAGAAAGCTGAATTAGAATACGAAGAAGCGAAGAAAAAGTTGAAAGAGTGGGAGGATGAAAATGGGAAGAGGTTAAAGGAGTTATGGGAAGGAAAAGAGGAAGGTCGTAAAGGAGAGTTTGATTATTTGAAAGAAGAAAAGAAGAGGTTGGAGAAGAAGGTGGATGGTTGGGAGGAGCAGATGGAGTTGTTGCAAAATAAATTAGGTGAATTCAATAAAGGTGAAGGTAATGAACAAATTGCTTGAAGAGCGCAAGAAGAGGCCATTTAATGACATTGAGGTTTTGAAAGCATGACTAAACATCAAAAAATGCAAATTAGATGCAGGTATGATGGAGTTTTAGAAACTATGACATAAATGAAAAAAATTGAGCAATCATAACAAAACAATGTGTTAATTATTTGCTAGTTAGCAAGTATCTTTTATTGGTAAGCTGTTATTATTGTTATTGTGTGAAGAAAATATTGCCAATTTGTCAATTTGCTACTGTTATTAATACTACTACCAGTATATTACTATCGATATATATACTACTATTAAAGAGTATGTATACAACATTAATTAATTTTTCTTTTCCAAAAAAATCGATCTATCTGCTTGTGTGTACAATCAGAAGGAATTGATACGCGATCATTATTGTTGTTATTTTAGAAGATTATACTGGTAAAAAAATCAAATTTGGTTTTGCAGTAAACGTTTTTTAAGATGCACAGTTTTAATTAATAAAGGTCAAAAGCTGTATACCTTAACAGATGTTTAAATATATTTTTTTTTTACCAGTGATAGAAATCCAATATCAAAATATTCTGGTTGATGTTACTGTAATAACACTATGAATACACTACTATTAATGATAAATTATTGAAGAGTATATGTATACAACATTGCATTAATTAAAAATTTTCTTTTCCAAAAAGAAATAGATCTATAATATTTTTGTGTTAATGGGACATAAAGTCATGAAAAATTTTTTATATATCAATATTAATATTTACGGGAGGTTGCTTTCACAATATTAATATGGAATTTAAACTAAAGGAATAAAGGTTAAATAAAGTGTATCCCTTAAGTTGTTATACGGTAGATTTATTAAAAACCATTATAATTATATAGTATAAATTCAATTAATGCTTGCTAATGATGCGAGTCTGTCAATTGACTTAACATACGTTATCATACCGTACTGAATTTTGGGGTTCAAACAAAATCATGCACATGATTACCAAACCCAGGCAGAAGTAACGATAGAATAACTCAATTACATTCTTAGCAGCTGAAATGAGTTATAAATCATTGTACAGAGATTTTCTAACTGGTATAGAAGAAGATAATAATTTGAAATCTTTGAAGTATGATGCCTTCAGAAAATTATAACATCAATTGACACCAGAAATTCAAATTATGAGTCCAAGAACTGATTTGTGTGATACTTGTCAGTATTTTAGAGATGGTTTACATTATAATGCTCGCAAGAGAAAGAAGCTAAAGATTTGCTCAAAAGATTTAAAAGAACAATTGTCTAAAGCAAAACTAGAAATAAATTATTATAATAAAAAACACTAAATTAGCAGAAGAATTAAAACACAATATTGCAGTATTGATGTCACTGCTATTATTGAGCCCAGAATGTTCATCTGTCACATTTAGATCAACAAGTAAATAAAATCTATTACCTTAGTCCATGTAAAGTTCATTTATTTGGTATTCAAGATGAAACAGTAAGGGAACAAATTAATTGTGCATATACATGTGGACGACATGTAATCATACATAGTTGCAGCCAATAAATTATATGGATTGCAATTTTATTCATAATTGATAATCATGTGGCAATGATTGACGTTTTTTCTATAACGAACGCTCTCTATACCGAGCGAAATTTCTCGGTCCAGGGGCTCGGTATAGAGAGCTTTCTTTGACTGTATTATGGGAAGACCCTGGGGTCCTATAATGGCGATGGTATTTAATATTGTGATATCTCAAATAATCTAAAAGTCTTGAGCACTGTATTAATATCAATAACAACGACATGTGATCTTATTTTATAATAGAAGTTTCCCCAAATAGGCAACCTATAAAACCGCCAAAATATGCTAAAAATTATGAACGCGAGATCAATTATATCACAGAATCATTATTATTAAATAATGAAGATAAACGCAACTTCTGTAATCCTGTAATAGGATTTGATGAGATAGCCCGCTTGCTACTCTTCCTTTGAGTACACAAAATACACTAGATCTAAAAGTTATTTATCCATACAAAACATCAAGTAAAAGACTTTACAAAAATTTTTAATGATGACTGATATAACCAGTATTTTGTTACAAACTTAATTTATAAACACCGTTATAATACAGGTAAATCACAAAGTATAAAAATCTAAAATAAATATAAGGTCTTTTTTTTAAGATGAAAATCATATTCAATTAAAATTTCTTACCAAAACGTAAATATATATATATTTATATATTTAATTTAATATTAATATTTGGAGTCCCATCAGTATTTACAGTTTGATTGAGTTTTTCGATAACACCTTTTTTACCATTCTTTAAATCAAAATTATCATCATTTAAATCGAATGATTTATTGTTGCCTTCATATACAAAAATACCTTCGTCATAAATTTTATCGTCATCTTCGTCATCATCATCATCATCATCACTATTGTTATTATTAGCATTTTTTCTATTAGCAGTATCACCAACTTTTTTCTTTTTATCAAATGATTGATACGCAGGTTTTTTGTGATATTCATCTCCTCCTTTATCAACGTCAATTTCAATATTATTGGGATAAACAAAATGATCGCCATCATCATCAGATCTATACTCAAAATCATTATTATTCAATTTAATATTCTTATTGATAATACCCTTGGTTGAAATAAAGCTAGCTGACACGTTAATTCTATCCATGTTGTCTGGTAGTGGTCCTGGTGAGGGACTGGTTAGACTATTGAGTGAATGAGGAATAAATGCTGATGCATGTGGATTAAGGCTGGTGGCAGGTGAGATGACGGAGCTTGTTGGCTTGCTTGTTTGTGGAATTGGTATAGCAGTTGTTTTAGAAGAAGTGGAGATGATTGGATTATTATTGGTGGTTTCAAACATACTACTTGAAAGTCTACTTGAACCAATTGGCTCATCAACGGTTAGTTCTGTGAGAATTGTTGAATATTCAGCTGATCTTGATAAATTGTTATATGAAAGTAAAGAATTATCAACTTTATTTGTGTCGTTATTAATTGTAATATTATTGTTGTTATTTGATAAAATTATGTCGTTAATAGTTGAAGTAATTAACGATGATTTTTTTTCATCTTTTTTAATGAAGGATTCTTTTGGAAGAACAAATGATCCATCACAAACTTTTATTACTTCAGTGTTATCATCGTCATTGCTATTATTAAGCTCGGTTGTCCGAGAAATCTTTGTTGGTAATTCAGTATTCAAGCCATTGTTTGTACTTTTAATGTCATTAGTAACTTCTTCATCATCATCACCATCATCACCATCATCATCATCATCATCATCATCATCATCATCATCATCATCATCATCATCATCATATCTACCAACACTAATATCTTCATCCTCTTCATCCTCTTCCTCCTCCTCTTCAATGTAAGGTATATGTTCATTTTCAATTAATGGTTCAATAAAAATACTTTCGTCAACTAATTGTTGTTTATTAAGATAAGCACGTGATACCAGCCAATGATGTAGCTTTAAATCACCAAGTCCTAACTGTGAAAGATCACATGGTAATCTAATATTTAAACCATCCATAGTAATTCTATCTTTCGCAAGAGGTAAATTACTAGAAGTAGTCTTAAGATTGACGGCTAAATCATCGCTATCGTAATCTTGTGAAGTGATGTTATACTGACATTGTTCAAGCAAAGAACAAATTGACATTGATTTACGTACGCCTGGAGGAGAGAGCATAATCTCTGTGGAGTTTCCAGATTTCCCTGTGGTGTAAGAGTGATTTATTTGTTTAATTTCTTCATAATGAGGTTGCATCCATGGAATAACCACCACCCCTTGATCATTTTCACGGAAAATTTCTAATTTTTGAAAAAGAAGCTCCTTATATGCTTTATATTCATTATCTTTTTTGATGAAGCAGGATAGATCTTTTAGACTTTGAATTGTATCAACAGGTAAACTATCCCATAATTTACGTATTCTATATAATTCTGGCGATGTTAAAGCTTTGATTATTGCAGCAAAACTATTGAAATTACGATAAACATTTAACAGATAACAAGATATTCTTATGGCATGAGTTATTATATTTTCATGTAGATGTTGAGAATCACCACCACTATCACTACTAAATGAAGAAGTTCTTCGAGAAGATTTAACATTATCAGTGGTAGAAATAATAAATTGATGTAAAAAACTGTTGGTTAGATAACGATGAAAGTCTAGACAAGCTTGTGCCCTTGAATTTTTTTTGTCCTTTATATGAAAATCTTTTTTGAAATCAATTTTTCTAAAAAGATCACTTTCAATTATTGTCAACTGTAAAGCAATAGCATCAGCATCCCAGTATAGTAAATTTACTTCAGAAATAAGTTTGATATCATTGTTAACCTTAACAGCATTTGTTTCGATGGCTCTTAATTCCTCCTCTATTTTACGAAGTTGATTGTGATGAAATTCATCTTCATTTTTTTTTTTAGGGCTTTGTTGTTTGATTTTTTCAATTTTCGCTTTAGTCTTATCTAGTTCTTGAGAGTAGTATAATACTTTTTTAGATAGAGGAGAAAATGGAATAAGTGGCAAATGTATTGGGGTTGGATTTTTGGTATTTAATGAAGAAACAAAATCGGAAATGTATGAAGGTTGTGAAGATGGCAGGTTGCCTACTGTAACTTTATTTTGAAGAATATCTTCTAATTTTTGTACACATGTTTTAAGTTGACTAAACAATTGAGCACTATTATGAGGTCTCGATTTAATACTATCTACATAATTTTTTTTTAAAAAAGAATGAATAGCTGACAATAATAAAAATAAATAAAATTATACAAGTTAACAATAATATCTACCTCTGTTGATAAAAGTAACCTCATGTCCTAGTTTATAGATCAATGCATTGGCAGTCTTCAAATAATTACTGTATGAATCCTATGTTTAAGTAAAATTTGTTGTTAAATTTATCATTATCATTATCATTATTTTTTTTATAAACCTTTATACCTTAAGGTTTTCATTATGATAATCACTTGTTGCAATGTTATAAAGGCCTTCCCAATCGCTCATAGTTGAACCAGTGTAGTTAATTATGTTTAATATTTGAGAAAGAAAGATAAATAAGTATAAATGAAAAGAGAAAAAAATTGGACGATATTGATATTTTTGTTTTTTATGTTTCTAATTAATATTAAACCTTATTTTTTAAAAAAGGTTTCGAGGGTTTTATTAAAGCGCGCGTATATATTAATATGATTATGTAATATGACAAACCCCAAAAGGTGCATGCAGAAGTTACACAAACTTACAAGTAGAAATTGTTTCACGTGAATGAGTGAATGAATGAACTAATTTAATCTAATTAATTATTTTTGCAGTGAAATTTTTCTAAAGATTTGTTTTTGAATAATGTGGGGCAGACTCATTTTAGAGTTCAATTTGTTAAGTTCCACAATACAGTCATTATTTTACCAAATTTGGAATTCGATTCTAGAAAATTGGAACCCCTTTGTTGATCAATTAATATGTGTTATATATATACCATTACAAATGATTTAACGTGACATGTTGTGCCCGTGAAAAAAAGGATTTTTTTTTAGTAATAATCAAATCAAATATACAAATCTTATTAAGTATACATATATATATTCAGAATTATCATTATATAAAAATTTAATCATCAAATCCTTTTAATTTTCTTGTGAAAAATTTTTCTTTATACATCGCTTCGCTTTTCTCAAGTATTCTTGTCGTTTGAATTGCTAGAATGAACCAATATCAGGTATATCGAAATTATTATGAAAATTTATTGCTTGTGATTGATTTTGTTATAAAAAATATTAATTATATCTATAACGTGGTTTATTTCCTTTTAAGATTATAGAATATGTTTTCAATCGATTATATATAACGGATAAGTGTAAATCAGAGGATCGAAAGCTTTTCGTGGCCACAGCTTGCGAAAGTTGCCAGTCAGGTATTCAGACTTGATGTACGGTGGATTACCTGCTGTGAATGTTCGAACTCCATTACCGAAAAAACTGCATTGGCTTGAGCCCTGGTTTTTGTGGTGAGTAGGATACATGAACATCGAATTGAAAGCACATCGTGGCCGCAGTTACACGCAATTGTGAACGTTCTTCTTTGGTTCTTGACAATAATGACACAAATGCTCATTTTTTTTTATTTTTAATATTTCAGACCTTGGCCAGGGGATGGTGGTATGGATTTATTTGGAAATCACGAGGGATATTTGTTGTTGATACAGTGTAAATAATGGAGACGCAATATAGGTAACGTGTTGAATATATCTGCTGTAGATGTAGATTAAATATATTGTAGGTCCCGCAGTCCTATGTGACATAGAAAGGTTCTATCTAGGCAGTGTTATGCCATTTATGATTACAATAAAAATTCATTGGAATATTTCAATAACGTTATAATGTTCCAATTGCACAATACTGTATCTGGATTCACAAAGGCGCTACAATTGGAATCTTTGTAGTCCCTTCTAAGGACAAATTTACCTCTGGCAAGGTTAGCAAATTGATTGGTCCATTTCCATTAATAAAATATTAAATATGATTAAAGTGTTATACTAATGGACTCAATTTATCACCAATAGACCACCGATGGACCGCATATTTACCAACCCTGCCTCTGGAACATGAGAAGAGCTAGAACATCAGGATATACATCATATTAACGGATGTTGGTGATCTATATCTTGACATTGTTCGGTTTATTGGGGAACGGCAAATTGAAGCGTTAGATATTCTCGTTTGGTTCATTGAGAAACGACAAATCGAAATGTTTTATAATCTTGTTCAGCTTGTTGAAGAATGACAAGTCTGTCAGGATATTATCAATATAAATTTGCGCCTTGAGAATCAACGAGTTCGTAATTTCGTGAACTTTTATTATATTTTTTGCATTATTATAATTTTTGCATTATTGTAGTTTTTTGTATTATTATAATTTTTTGTATTATTATGATTTTCGCATTATTGTAGTTTTATTGTTATAATTTTTTTTAAATAGTTTTTATGTTTTATTTTTTTAAATCAATAAACTGGGTTGTTGCTAATCATTACAGAAGAAGACCAACTAAAGATGAGTATAATGTTCGATCTTGATTAATAATTTCCGCAATTCATACCAATTAAATTGGCCGGGATTGATCACACATAACTTCCATGGATAAAGAATTCGATTCTTGAAATTCTTGAACCATTTCAAATTGTATAAAAGGAGGCAGGTTATCCTTTATCTGCTCTGTTTAAAATGAAAAATCAAATGCTTATCAACAAATTTTATATATCTTCAATAGTTAATTGCAAAACTGCAAAATGAAGAATATATGAATATCTGCAAATAAAAGAATAAGGTGATGATGGAAATGCCTGATTACACTCACCAGTCACTTTGATTTTGTCATATATACTAATCGAATTTCTGGTTCATAGATACTGTAATTCTATATATCACTTCATATTAAGAAAAACCAAAGATAACAACAGATGGGAGATTTTAATGATCGCATGACTAAATTTTGATCCCCGAAATTCTTGTCGTGTTAATGTTCACTTTGTCTGGTTTTGTTACAGCATTGCCCGTATTAAAATTAGTTAATTAAATGTGCGCAAATGATGGTCAATTTTTAAAAGAAAAATCGTTACGAAAACAAAGAAGACTCGATTGTACAAGGTTTTATTATGCTAACATCACTCAAAACTTTTAACATTTATAATCCTTGTATAATAGAATAAATTGAATCAAAAATCTTGATTTTTGTCCCGAGGCCCCAGAGGTTGATTTTCCTAGTCCCAAGTGTGTATGCTGTGTATCACGTGCAACCAATGAAATTGCTTCCTCTATAAATGCACACCCTCCACAAAACTTGGTCCCCAAGGGAGGAGGGTGCATTTATGATCTCCGACTGTAGATTATTATAAAAACTTGAAATAAAAAAACCAGCTGGAAGGTTGATTTTCCTAGTACAGACCACTCCATATTGGGAGTGTAACAAATACCATTGATGAAAAAATCACGATCAAAAATTGCCAATAGTGTAACGGGTATAATAAAAACACATCCTACTAGTCCGTGAAAAAAAGTCATGTCGTTTTCATTTTCGATTATATTGTAGTATAATATATCTATTTTGGCTGTATAGAGAGATTTTTTCAGGTAATAAATACCAGTTGTGAAAAAATCGTGACTAAAAAACACTAAAATCATCATATTGCAACGAGAATAATAAGAATCCATATTTTCATAATCCTACTAGTCCGTGAAAAAAAGTCATGTCGTTTTCATTTTCGAGTATGTTGTATTACAATATATCTAGTTTGACTGTATATAGAGATTTTTGCAGGTAATAAATATTAATTGTATAAGAAATCGTAAACAAAAATCAACGAGAATAATAAGAATCCATATTTTCATAATCCTGCTAGTCTGTGAAAAAAAGTCATGTCGTTTTCATTTTCGAGTATGTTGTATTATAATATATATAGTTTGACTGTATTGAGAGATTTTTGCAGGTAATAAATATTAATTGTGCAAGAAATCGCAACCAAAAATCAACGAGAATAATAAGAATCCATATTTTCATAATCCTACTAGTCCGTGAAAAAAAGTCATATCGTTTTCACTTTCGAGTATGTTATAGTATATATAATATATCTAGTTTGAATTTACAGAGAGATTTTTGTGGTAATAAATACCAGTTGTGAAAAAATCGTAAAATTAAATTTTTTTTTTTTAAAAAAATTTCACTTTAAAAATCCGTTCAATTAGATTTGTTGATCTATTAAGTGTGACACACCCCAACTCCATATATTCTTGATTTTCCCAAAGTAACACCAACCAAATAATTTAATCAATCAATGTCTTTATTTTTAACAAAAAAAAATTTTTCCTTGAACACAATTACAACAACAAAAAACAAGAATTCTGTTATTATACCACCGTTGCTACTACTATTAATAAGAAATAATAGCAATGCAAGCTTATTTCACACAACCAATTCAAATAGGAAAAAAAGTTTTGTAGCAGTAACAGCAACTAATAATAATTATAATTCGAATAAAAATCCATATTTAATATCTAACGATAAAGCTCGAAACAATAATAACAGTAGCAACAGCAACAATACTAATTCTGCCGATGATACCAATAATCAATTATCTTCTTCATCAACAGTAATAAATCGAGAATGGACTCCTAATTCTATTAGAGTAGGCACTATTGCTCGTAAAAAAGGTATGACGGCTATATGGGACGAATGGGGTGTAAGACTCCCAGTCACCATACTACAGGTACATTTAAATTGTAATAATAATTTATTAATATTGAATGAATGGTTATTTATTATCTTTATGCTTTTTATATGTTTTCTTATAATTTTCATTTCATTCTTTCCCCCACAATAAAAAAAAGTTGGAGAATGTTCAAGTTATCCAAGTTAAATTAGAAAATAAATTTTTTAGACCTGGTTTGATTGGGATACAATTGGGTTGTACAGATAAAACAAAAAATGTTGAAATGAAATTAATAGGCCATTTTCATAAAGCTAATATCACACCAAAAGAATCCTTGAAGGAGTTTCTTGTGACTTCAGATGCTATCTTACCTGTTGGTATATATTTATATATTTATTGATATATATATGAGTGGATTAAAAATAAATAAAAAGATTTTTATTTTTATTTTTATTTTTATTATTTTATTAGGAACAAGAATATCAGCAGCACATTTTGTACCAGGTCAATATGTAGATGTAAAGAGTCGATCGTAAGTTTATATATTTAATCAATTAATCAATAATTACTTTATAATTAATAACTACAACAACAACAATTATTATTATTCAAATAGAATCGGTAAGGGTTTTGCTGGTGTGATGAAACGTTGGAATTTCAAAGGTATGCCAGCTTCACATGGGACTTCTTTGTCTCATCGTTCAGCTGGTTCTACTGGCCAACGTCAGGTAAGATAATTATTTACTTTAATGTAATTTTATTTAATTAAAAAATAAATTTTTAACAATCAATCAATCAATTAAAAAAAATATTAAAGGACCCAGGTAGAGTTTTCAAAGGTAAAAAAATGGCTGGTAGACTAGGTGGAACATTTGTAACAGTTAAAAATCTTAAAGTTTTAAAAATTGATAATTATCTAGATATCATATATGTGAAGGGTGCAGTTCCTGGACCAGATAATAGTTTTGTTAAAATTAGAGACTCATTGTTTAAAAAAGGTGGATGTTTCCCACCAGATTGTCTGCCACCTCCATTTCCAACTGTTATGAAGAATCATGAGGATTTATTAAATACTGTTCCTAGAGAGTTGGTAGCCAAATCTGGTGGTACTGATCCTTTTATCCCCAAAGAGTCTTAATTAATAACTGTTTTTATTTTTTTAAGAATCCAAGTGTGATTAATTAAAAACAACACAAATAACAAATAGATGTGTAGATTTTTGTAGTAGCAGTAGTGTAAAAAGTACATATATAAATGATGATAAACATTTTTTAATTTTTAAAAGCTAATTTCTATAATTTTTATAATATATACTGTATGAAGTAATATCGGTGCTAATTTATTTTAAAAAAAAGCTCAAAATTTTTTACTAATAGAGCCATTATTATTATGAGAGAGGTGTTAGGTTCTGTGGCTGTGATTGATCTAATAATTTTTCATTTTGAATTTGTCAATTAACATTAATGTTATTAAAATCAACCCCATGTTTCTTCTTTAATTAATAATATACCTACTCTTTTATAATTTGGTTGTTGTTCATATGCATTTGACTATTACTTCAATGATTTTGATGATGACTTGCATCATTATTATTACTATTACCACTACTATTACCACTTTCACTACTACTATTATTGTTATTATCATCATCATCACTATCATTACTATTGCTGGATTCATCTGATGATAATCATCAAATGCATGTGATCTATGATAAATACAACAAATTACATAATATAGCAATAAATTTAACACTTATTTAGTGAAATATATATACAATGGATTTTCCTAAAAACATAAAATAAAATACCTTTAGGTTTTTTTCCTTCCTAATCCTTTATTATCAATTACATCTTCATCCCATTTTACTTTTCTATTAGTTGAACCATCACCACAAAGCTTTAAAGTTCCTACTACAATTTCTTCTGGATTTGAAGTATCATCATTATTTCTCCTCTTCCTCTTCCAATATCATCATTATTTCTATTCTGTTTCTATTTCTTCTAACTCTTCAGGATGAAGTGTCATTGTTCTTGATGCATAGGTTTCAGATCAACCTAATTTTTTTATTTATAATTATACAAGAATAAAAATAATGCTAGTAAAAGGGTTGAATTATTTGAGATATGATGTTATTACAAAATTACATATTGGAGGGTATTGTAGTGTGTATGATAACTTAATGAATCATAGGTTTGCCGTGGTTTATTTTTTCTCATTATTTTTTTTCAAAATTTGATCTGCTGATTTTTTACACTCCTCCGGATCACATAACCCAACCAGGGTCGTCATTAGTACATATATATTTAATATTAATATAGTAATAGTGCAAGACGCTACAACTTTTTGCGCCACAGCGTCAATTTTAAAGATTTTATTGTCACGTGTTTTGTGAAATTAAAAAAAAAGATAATTAACAATTTATTCATACGTATTGCGTAACATGTAAAAGCAAAAACCCATTACCACATGTACCCTGGTGGTTTTATATGAATGGAATTGGGAAAAAACCACGTGAAGTGTAAATTGCATTTATCTCTCGAGTCCCAGGAATGAGACATGGGAGCACTTATGGAGGGAGGGTTGACTGTAAATTAAATTTATAAATGATCGTCAAATTGTAACTAATTTTGTTTTATTTCATCTATTTCGTGAATAACGTCCAGTCTAGTCCGCAAACCGATTAGACACAACTAAGCCATTATTTTGCTATAATCGGATTGGGCAGTGCAATAAAGGGGCTTATGGCTTCCCGATCCAAAAATGAGTTAGTACTACCATCATATGCAATTCTTTATGAAGAATAAATACGTAATCTTTTTAGCTTTAATAAAGTTTGAGATATTTGCCTTTAAAATTGCCAACACACTGGTCTAGATACTTTTTTCAATTTTTCTCGGTTACAAAAACTCTATAAACCCCTTTCTTATTGCAATGCCGCTGCCATATTTTATCATGCATGACCTTTGCAGGTAAGAAACCAGCCTCCTTCTTACAAGAATAATTACAATAAACTTAAAATACCTCATTAGTAAGTCATGAGCCAAGGTGTTAAACTTCATCTCTATTTACTTTTTTCTGATTAGAGTCAAAGATCATCAGTCTTAGCGGCCATAACAATAATTTTATTCGTTTTTTACATATATTTATTGATCTATCAAATCAACGATGTATTATAATATTATTCTTTGATTCATTACATTCCCACTGCACATGCTCGAACCATCATGATTAATGTTTAATTATAATGAGAAAGTTCTTGTGAAAGAAAGTTTCAATTCATTCTAAATAATATTAATTTTAGAATTATCTATTAAAATTTTATTTTATCTATATATATGTCTCTATTCTAATAATTACTTTATGTGCTATCATTTTTATTTATTTGGCCAATTTGTTTGTCCATTTCATATATGACTGTGAAGAAAGTACTGCAGTAGCATTAGCAACTTGTAATCGTTTACTTCTTCTAACTTCATTTGTCATATGTGCTGCAATGGCCAAATCCTATATATAAAAAAATATAAATTTTTTAACAATATAATTGGATTAATTAATTGAATGAACGGTTTTACCTGTTGTCTTTTCACCAAACAAGTCGAAAGTTCTTGATAACGGTCTAAAAATTCATTTTTTAATACTGATTCTCTGTTACCGTTCGAATTAAACCATTTCATTAATTGATCAATCTAAAAAAACAAGCAAATTGTTTAGGTTGTTAAAGCATTTGAAATTTCCAATTAATAACTACACACAAATGCGCACATATATTTATTACTTACATCATTCACATCTTCATAACAACTCCATTGTCCAAAATTCATATCAGGATCTTCAACTTTTTTTCTTTTATAATAATGTTGTTGTTCGTTGGCAGTTAACATTTTCAAATCATGTTCCTGGGGAGCTTGTACCCAAATCCTACCCGTACCATATTTTTCTCCAACAGCCATGCCTATTCCATCAAAGTAAAAATATTTATTATAAAATCTGTCATACCCTAAAGGTATAGTACGTGGAAATGCATATTTTTTCTTGTCTTTATCAATTTGTTCTTCCTAAATTTTATTATTTGTTATTATTATTTTTAATTCTAAAAAAAATTAAAATTATTCGTTCATCATACATAAATATAATATATACATGCCCTTCTTTGTAATGACATTTCATCATCTCTAAGTTGTTTTAGTATCAAAGCCTCATCATAATTTTTTCCTTTCGCATTTTTTTCTGTGTTTAATGTCTGAATTGTTTTTATAATTGCTGGCATGATTCCTTGTTCAAGTTGAGTGATGGAAGACGAGCTAAATTTAATTATAACAGCAACGTTAATAACAACTTAAAAAAAATATTATTTTGTTAAACCACAGCACTCCCTAGTACCAATACCAATAATATTAATACTAAATTTCCTTACGTTTGTCTCCTTTCTCTTGATATTTCATTTTTTTCTTTATTCAAATCAGATAACTTTTCAACAGAATTTTCAATGTGCTCATGAACAATTGATGTTTTTGTGATTATATTAACCAAAAAATTCAAAATTTTTAACTTGGAATCAATATCAAGTTTCATGTAATTCTCTTCTATGTCCCCATTTACATTTTCAACTAATTCTAAAAATATTTTATCCAAATCTGGAAATATTTCATAAGTTCCCATCTGCCAAAAAAAATATAACATATTAAGTAAAAGATTTGGCATCTTCAATAATAATAGCTAATTAATTAAATAATTAAAATTTTATAAAAATATTACATCATAAAGAAACCCAACAAGAATATTTTCCCATTTATTCCTTCCTTGTGTTAAAGGTATTAATCTTTTGTCCCAATTTCTTCCTAATTTATCAAGAATTTCAATTGAAGTATCAGATAATTCTCTAACATCATCAGCATCTTTCATTTCTACTGAATCGGTATCTGTTCCTGTACCAGTTGATGATCCGGTTGATTTTAATGTGGGGCCACGAGAAGTTTTTTTGCCTTTAGATTGCAAACGATCTTTAATAATGGCATTTAACAATGCCACATGTAACTCAACTATAAGAAAACATTTTGGTTGTACTTTGTCATATAATAATGCTAATTCAAAATCATCTAGATTAAAAAATGAGATCCCAATGGATTTTCTGTCCAAAATATTATCAAAGGATGAAAAAAATATTTAAAGTTTTATTATTTTGATAAAAAAATAAAAGCAATTGTAATAGTAATAAATAGTAGTAGTAGTCAAGTTTACCCAAATATATTAAAGAAATTCCATACGCTTAAAAAGGCTCCAACAGATTCATGAGACATTCTGAGATCAATTTGAATATTTGGTTTTTCTGGAAGAAGACTCGCATCAAGAGGAACCGCGAGATCTTCGATTGGATATTTAACTAATAACAAAATAAATATTCAATAAAGTTAATCAATATTTAAAATAAAGTCATAGTAATATATATATATATATATACATACTTTTCTTATTTTCAACTATTATTGTTTATTAATAATATTTGTATCTTTATTAGTAGTTTTCTTTGATGGCGATGATAATGATAATTTTATTCTAATTATATTTGCCTGCATACCTATTTTGTTAGTGGATTTAGATGAAGTATGTGAATTGTTTGATTTCGAATTAGGTTTTGCTTTTTTTGAAGGATTGCTACTAGACGTTGATTTTCCCTATATACAAGTTCATGTATATAAATTACATGTTAAATTGGTATTTATATGAAGAACAAAATTTCACTTTTATAAATCCTAACCTTTCTTTTGCGACTCTTTTCTAAAGCAGCATCTTTAGCTCGTTGTAAATCATCTGGTAATTTAATTGGTATATTATATTTTTTTGCAATCTTGGGCTATTTTAAAGAGAAAATATTTATTATTATGTCATTATCATTAATAATATTATAAACGTAAAAAATAACTACATATATGTGTGTCAAATAATATAGATATATACTTTAATCACCCATGGTGCATGAAGATAAGTTTCTCTCGTCGTGGATCCCTTAATGAATTTACGTATAATTGTTTTTGTAAATGCTAAATTTTCACGACTTTTATTAAAAAAAGTTTATATTATTAGTTATATATGTGTGTTAAATTAATTCTAGATCCTTTCTCTTTTGAAATAATAATAACAAAACCAAAAACAACAATAATAAAATTTTCTTTACAAACCTTAATGCTTTACTTCCAACAATAGTCTTGATTTTATTACCACCTTTATTTTGTTGCTTGTCCAACAATTGAACATGATAAATAGAACTTAGTGACGAATCTTTATAAGATTTGGAATTACTTGAATCTGATTCATTAATAGAGTTAGCAGTAATTATATCAACAATTTTTGCTTTACTCCTAATCGTAATAATAATAATAATAATAATAATAAAAGTTATGTTAATATTTTTTTAAATATAATTGTTTTGTTATTCTAAATAAAGTAGAAGCATTTACTTTTTCTCATCAATAACTACATTAACGATTTCTCCTACGGTATAACGATTTTTAAAACTCTCATATATTGTTGTAACCAAATCATCCAAACGTTCAAGACCTTCAATTAAATTAGTTGATTAATTAAATTATTTATAATCATTTTTTTAAGGAAAAAAAAAAAGTATTTACTGAATTGAACTATTTTTAAAATTGGTTTTTTTAATCCTTCTGGAAACTTTTCATCCAACTGTTCACGATGTTTCTGTTCACTTTCAAGTGCGTCAGCATATGTAAGATTTAATTTCCCTGTCACTGCACATTGCCATAATGGCTGGTTGTATAAAGCGGTATTATTCAAATATTCGCTAATAATAAAACAAAAAAGAAAAAATTTTTTTTTAACAAAAATAACAAACGTAAACTTTTTTCCTGATCATTTGTAACTTGATATAAAAATATTAGGCTTAAAGTATTTTTAAACATCAAATAAAAATTGCATCTAGTAAAAGAAACGTGTATATAAACATTATAAGCAAAATGTCATATGATTCTTGAAAGAATACCTATAATTTAAAAATATTTGGCCAGTATAAGGAATCAACCAGACTTGTTGATCTTTTTGATGTTCGGAGTCAATTAATTCAAGTTGTTGCGTTGTATTTATAAGTTTTTTCTTGTAAACAGGCATGGTTTTTGTTTTTTCAGAAAGATTTGTTTTTTCTAATATTTCTGATATTGTATATAAATATAAATAAATAAAAAATTTTGTTTTGAAACAACAAATTCAAAAAAAATATATATCTTATTTAGGTATTTTTTAAAATTCGTTGTAACACGAAATAAATAATCGTTGAATCACGTTTATCACTCTAAAAAAAAATGATTCCTCCAAAATAAGTGTTATGTCCCAAAAACTAAATCAACTGTTGTTAAAAATCTGGCCCACGGACGATGGTTTTTGCGGTGACAATTCCATCCGTGACAAAAAACAAATCCTGCGGAATTCTGTGGTAAATATTTACTAAAATAACTAAAATAAGTTTTGGCCAGATTACATTAAACCTAAAATTTAATGTCATGAAGGTTCAGTTGTTGAAAATTCAATCAGAGCGTACCACGTTACACGAAATTTTCATGTGCACGGAAATATTGTTTTTTCAATTAATTAATTAATTAATTAATTAATTAAATGGTCCAGAAGAGAAAAAAAAAACAGGGAAAATAATAATAATTTAAATTTTTTTTAATTAAAAAAAATAGACATGCACGATCTGTACAACTGGTACACACTGATTAAATTTCCACAGGACCCGCAAACTATGTATATAGATAGGTAAAAGACCTAAAAATTTTACTATTAGAAAATGAAATGTTGGTGAAACTTACCAAATTTGGAAAGATTGTCTCAAATAAGCCAATCACGGTGTGGGTAAACCCTATATCAAACCGTGATTTTTGTATGTAACCTTATATAGTTTGCGGGTCCCTTTTCAAAACTGCGTAAGAGTCACCCCTGAATAAATATTAATTCTAGATTTTGTATTTAGGCAAAAAATTATCACCTCTGGTCTAGCCTCCACGAATGTCTAATAATAATGTATGGTGATTTTCATGATCCACATGTTCACTGTAATGTTCATCTGCCCTTATTCCGTGAACAAAGCTTTGCCAATTATCGAATAACAAATAAATGTTTTATATTGCAATTTATTATTAATTCATATGTGTATTTTAAAATTAGTGAAAGAAACTTTAGAAAGCGAAGAATCATCATCATAATAATAATAACCTTCTGCTTTAGCAGCTGCGGGATGGTCATCATCTTGGAAAGTATTTAAAAGTGTGAATATGTAGTAGAATGTACCAAAGATTTTCACTATAAAATGATTTATGAAAGAAACAGTCATGGGATAAAAATTTGGAATGTAAAAGTGATGAAGATGATAATATAATTAATAATGATGATGTGGATAATTTATTTTATATATTATTGTTATTGTTATTGTTATTGTTGTTGTTGTTATTGTTAAACAATATATTAACAACATTATACAAACATATAGATATACATATTAAATATTAAATATAATAAAAAATTTATCGATCCATCGTTAATGATCGAGTAAGTTTAGCACCGGGTTTTGATCTATCTTCGTCCTCTTCTTCATCCTCCTCTTCATAATTTTCTTCATCCACATATTCCTTTCCTTCTTCAAGTTGTGTTGGTGATATTTGTGATAGAGACTTTGGCGATGTGACGGTAGTGGTCACGGATTCGCTTTTATTATTATTTTTTGATCCACTACGACGACGATCTCCGTCATTACTTGAAAGTGACAATGTCAAAGGTCTTAACCCACGATTTGATAGTGCTTTTCGCCGTCTTTTACAAACCAAAATTATGATGGTTAACATACCAATCATTAGAACAAAAACAGTAATTCCTATAATGGTTTTTGCAAACGGTGTATCCATTGTTGAACCACTATTATTAACACTAGTAGAATTGGTGGTGGCAGTAGTAGTTGAAATTAAAGCTGTGCTACTAGCTGATGTAGCATCAGTTGCAGCTACAGTAACCGTTAGATTCGTTAAATCTGCTTCTTTTATTTTCAATAATGAATCCAAAGGTTTTGATTTTTCAGATGATGACAACGACTTTTCATCATCATCATAAAGTTCACAATCATCATCCTCACTGCATTTTTCTGATCGAGAATCCATAAATGCACATTTATTTATTATATTTTATATTAGAAAATTTTTTAGAGTCAGAAAATACAAGAGTTTAAGAGTCCAAAGGATTTTTTTTTATTTAAAAATGTGGCTATGTGTTTGTATCGTTATTTACATTAAAGATTTTCTTTTCCTATAATATTTAATTATCACATCAAAGCCACTTAATTTCTTTTACACTAATACACAAACTTCTACATTTATTCTGAATATTGAGGGAGTCGGATTGATCTCCTTTTTATACCGATACTAACAACTAATACATGATCTTCATAATAAAATTCGGAAAAAAATTATTATTACGCGTCTACTAGATATTATAAGGTTATATGATTAAATGATGTTAATAAATGATTTTTTTAAAATGAACAAAAAAATTCAAAGTTGATATTTTTAAAGTAAATATGCAAAAGTGTATAATTACATGCAATAGATCATACAGATCCAAGCAAATTATTATCATTTCAAGTTTATTTCAGAATCTTTTTCCTTCACCTCGTTCTCCTAATTTAATCACGCGTAGTATTCAACAAGCATCCTCCAAGAAGATATCAAATGCTGGTAGAAATTATTTAGATTATTTAATAATGATAAGAGAAATAATAATAATAATAATTAATACTATCTTTAATTACTACCTGATAACTATAATTAATAGATGATGAATTAGATCCTAGATTTATAAATTCAAAATTTCCTTGTCTCCGTCCCACTCCACTTGAACCTCATTATAACAAATCTCTTATTGAGGCACTAAAAGTTTTAAGAAAATCAAGAGAACTTAGTGGTAATGTTAAAAGTGAATCAAGTTATCGTGATGCAATAGCAGCTTTAAAAGTATATTCACAAAGTTTTTTTTTTTTTTTGATTTTTATGATATTAATTAAACTTGTAAAATCTAACTTAATGATTATTTTTTCAAGTCATATCCACGTGATATAAAAAGCGGTAAAGAAGCTATAAAAATTGCATGTAAATATTTACAATTATAAAATTTATTTATCCTTAAGATAATCTAATTGTTACTTTTTTAAAAAAAGGTATTGGTGATAAAATAGGACATCATATTCAAACATTTCTTGAAACTGATAATATTCCCGAGGTTGAGGAGACATTAAAGGATCCAAAATTTCAAACATTGTGTTTATTTACACAGGTTTATGGTAATTAATTAATTGATTATTTTTTAAATAATAAATCCTTTACTTACATTTATCAATCAATATTTGTTTAAATAAAGGAGTTGGCAGTAAGAAAGCAAATGAATGGTATAATAAAGGGTATAGAACAATAGATGATTGTAAAAAAGATCCTAAATTAACAAATCTATTAAAACTTGGATTAGAATTATTTGATGACTTTCAAAAAAAGTATATTAAAGACATTCATATATACACATATACATTATATAGTATATTTTATATAGTTGAAGCATTTATTCAATTTATATATTTATATGATAGAATGACTCGTAAAGACATAGAAGAAATTATTGAAATTTTAGATAAAGAAATTAAAGAAATCGACCCGTTATACCTTTTAATACCTGTTGGTGGTTATCGTAGGTAATTTGTTTTAATTTTTAAATATTATTATTATTATTATTATTTTGAAAATATAAATAGTTAATTATAACAAGGTTTATTTCAGAGGTAAAGAAATTAATGGGGATTTAGATTTGCTTGTGTCGTACCCAGAAGGAAATATGGATCCGCATTCATTAAGTAAAATTATGAGTAAACTTGATGATAAAGGTTTAGTAACTTAATTAAAGATCTAAAATACAGACATATATATTTATATTTTAGAATAATTTTTATTAAAATACTTTAATATATATAATATAGGACTTGTAAAATGTAAACTTTTTAATTCAGAATTAATTTTGCGTGAACAAAGGGGCAAATTTATCAAAAAGGGTCAAGATGAAAATGAAATAGATACATTAGATAAGGTTATAATAGATACAACAGATAAATAGATACATGCATATACGATAGCCAATTTTTTAATAACATTTGTTTAATACATATATATTTTATTTAATTAGTGTTTTTTTGCATTTTGGCAACAAAGTAAAAATATTTATCGTCAAGTTGATATTGTTATTGCACCTAAAAGTGACTATTCTACAGCATTATTAGGATGGACGGGTAATAATTATTTATTTGATTTTGATTTTGATTTTGATAATTTATAAATTATTATAATTTACAATTATTAGGTTCTGCAGTTTTTGAAAAATCCTTTAGAGAGTATACAAAGAAGGTGAAATAAACAAACGAATATATCAATGTTGATTTTTTCCCAAGCGATAATAATTAATCTTAATTTTTTTTAGGTAAAAAAAATGAGAATTACATCTCATGGTCTTTTTACAGATACTTCACCACGTCAACGTATCAATGTTTCAAACGAGAAAGAAATATTTGAAATTTTGGAAGTTCCTTGGCTAGAACCTGAAATGAGAAATTGCTAAAAGCAATATAGAAAATTCAATTATATATTTGTTTTATTATAGTTACTTATTTTTCTTTTGAAAAATAAATAATAAAGAACCTTATACATACTTATATATAGATTATAAAGTTTCCCGAACTCTAACCTTGCTGTCCTTAATTAAAAGAAGATCAGAAAAATAAATAAATCAATAATATTTAATGATAATAATAAGATACCTGGATATTCAGCAAATAATGTAGAACCATCAGGTGACTAAGCCAAAGAGATACACTCGGAATCTACCAATATCCATAAAATCAGGTTTTAAATCACCGATAACTTTTTTAGTTTCCAGATCCCAAATTTTAATACAAGAAGTAGCAGCACACAACCAATATCTATCCGGACTAAATACTAAAGCATTCATTATATCATCTGCATCTAATGAATACAAACAAATGTTTACCCTCATTCAAACCCCATAACATCGCATCACCATCTTTCCACCAGATATGCAATAATCCATCTGGTGAGATGGTAACAATGCTAATATATCCACCATGTCCATGAGGATTAGTCTTAAGTCTACGTTTAACATGCTCCCATACTTATATATATGCATATATTTATATGCCTATAGTATATTAATATATTTTTCAATCAATAATAATAAAATAATTAAAATAGAAGAAAATAAACGTTTGACTTAGATCTGGTTAATTTCTCCAAACAAATATTATTACATTAAATCAGAACAAAAAAAAACCATTTATTCATCCACCCATAACACCATACTTCTATGTGGATATAATAATATAATAATAATAATCACCTTTACAAGTTTATCCCAACCGCTAGTGATGTGATCCGCGGATACCAGTCATCCGTTCATCCGCCATTTATATTTACCGATAAAAATCAATCCGTCATTCAGGTATCCGATGAACCCTTAAAATTTCAATCCTAATCCGTCTTTTTAAAAAAGATATCCGTCAATCTGTGTATGACCGGATTGTTTTATAGATATCCGAATTGGTCATCCAGGGATCGCATCACTACCAACAATAACAGGATTGGCAAGAATCGAACATAAGATACCCAATTAGTATATATGGCATTCATTCTTAATATCAAATTTACATTCTCCAAGTGTGTTCCATAATTTGATTGTTTTATCTTTTGATCCTGAAACAATTTGTCTATTATCTGGTGAAAAAGGAACTGACAAAACATCTTTCTCATTCCCAACAGATCGACAAGTTGTTCCATTATTCGAATCCCATAATCTAAGTGTCTTATCCCAAGATACTGACAAGCAAATTGTCCATCTGATGAAATGATCTGTTGATGATTTTAATTACGCGTCAATTGCCAAACAATGATCAAATAAATTAAGGAAACTCAGAAAAATTTTTTTTTCCGAAAAAAAAATAGTGGATAGATATATAGATACCACGAGAAGCATATAAATCATTCCAGGTTCTCTGATGTTCTAGCTATTATGTTTGATAAATTGAATTTTTATATATTTTAATAAGTTAATATTTTTCTTTATTAAATAAGTCAATTTATTAAATAATCAATTTAATATCATTCAACATCAACATTAATAATAATATTAATATGTAAAATATATAGACTACCCCAGAAAAAAGAATAGATATGATTGAGAGAAAAAGAAGTTCATTAACGAAACAAAATGAAGATTAGTGATGAAATGTTTAATGAAATAGAAGAGGAAATAATATTAGAAATCTTTTATTGAGAGGACATAGAAGTTCCAAAAATCAATTTAAAAAAAAAAATTCAAGAATTAAAAGTGGAAGTCAAAATTCATTTAGATTTTATTGAGAATTGAATAAAGAAAGGTTAGATAAAAGAACCAAAAAATAATTAATTGGCTTATAGAAAATAATTTGGTTGATAAATTGCAAAAAATCAATGATAAAATTTACAAGTAAACAACCAACCAAGAAAAGAAGTTCAAAAAACAGAAGACCAAAATTAACAGCAACATCAAAGCAGTCACAAAGCTATTTTAAAGAAACTAGATATAGATAATAAAAACAATGAAATGCAGCATAAGCAACAATTAATAAATCAACAAAATAAAGAGATATAGAAAAAAGATATCAATTGTGAAATGATTATGAAATGAACAAAGAGTAATCAGCAATTTATTGCTAAACTGAAACAGAAATTGAAACATTTAAATGTGAATAAAGAAAATGTCCCAAAATGAAATTATTATTCAAATCAGACAAGGCGGATAAAATCTGAAACAACTAATCCAAGGCCAAAAAAAGAGCAAAAATTTCATTTTGTCAACTCATTGAAATCACGTGACTATGGTACGTGTAACATATCACTTGGTGGAAATTCGATTATATCAAAAATATGATGATCATTTGTGATATGTGAATTTATATTGTTCTACATTTAATTTCAATTGTTTTAAAGTATATACTAACGTGCATAAAAACTCTTAATGGGAATACTCTATCTCGGTTACACGAATACCAACCAAGAATCCCCATGATTGGTAGAAAATAAGGAAATCTTATCTTAAAAAAACCTTGTCGTGTAACCGAGGTAGGTGTGGCCTTTAATGAGTAACACAATTTCAGAGTGATACTTGCAAAAAAAAAATATATAATCATTTTCTTTTCCTTATGTTCTTTCATTTAAAAAATGGAGATATGTTAAGATACGATTCATTGCATGGGCTACATCTGAATATACAAGGGAAAAAATTTTTTATTTTTATTATAAGGTAGATATTATTATTATACAAGATGAATTATTATTATTATTATTATTATATATATTATATAAAATAAATAATGAATAGAATAAGATAATGAATTATATAATAAAAAATAAATAGTTTTATAAATATTAAGAATTCCTAACTAATAATGATGAAAAGGAAGAGATGATGAAGGCGAGACATTTTACCTATACTGTAAAATCCCAAGTACTGTAGAAGAGGAAAAAAGTGATATTGTGTAATTATATTTATCCTTTTATCAAAATACACCATAGAAATTTAATTAACACGAAAGTGTAAATATAGTAAAACAAGTATAACGTAATATTAAAAATTAAGTATGTACAAAATAAGTAATACAAAAGATAATTCATATTTTATTTATTTTAGGCGTGACCACATACTAATACACTATGAAGAATAAAAAAATGCACAGATGGAATTGAGGAACGTATTTTTCAAAATCAAATGAATTAAAATTATTTCAAGAACTTGCTTATTCTATGGATCTTTGGATGTTTTATATTAGCTTTTATTTGACTATATTTAAAAATAAAGTTCAATGCATTCATTCATTTTGTGAGATTTTTTAAACACATACAGCTCACTCTCTCTATAACGGTTTTTGCTCTATAATAGATTGAAAATTTGAGCCCAATTAAAATTATCTATGTATCTCATATATTTCTATAATAGTTTCTCTCTAACGGTTGACGTAAACTCTTATGTGACACAGATTTTATATTGATACTAAAATGTAAATGTGATGATTGTAAACGCCGATCAAAAATGTAAATAATAAATAGCATACATTTTTGTATGGTGCATGAATCAAAGAGAGTTTTGTGTTTATATTAAAATTTTTTTTTCAATTTTGTAACTTTATTATTACAAACCCTACATTCTTTCTTAGTTTGCAATTTAAATTTTCTTGTTTTAAACACAAAACATATATTTCCTTGATAAAAAGACAAAATTTTGTTTCAAAAAAAAGATACATTTAAAAATAGGTATATTGAAATTATTTTACATCAATAAATTGATGTTTTAGTTATTTTATTGAATTCGTTAATAATATATATACATATGTATATATGCTATTAAATCTGATTCAATGTTTTATTGGATTTAGAATTTTTATCAATTAATCAATTATTAACATATTTATATTTTAGAATATATATTTACAAATACAACCAACAATTATAATATAAAATATAAAAATGATGATGCATAGACATAAACAACAAACTATGTCAGAATTAAAACTTCGTCGGTTATTAGAACTTAATCAAAGGTTACGGGAAGATTTAGATCGTCAACGGATTAGAGTTAGTGATGCCAGTAAAGGGTAATTAATCAATTAATCATTTAAAATTTATAACAATTCCTTAATTTTATTATTAAAAATATAATAATATATTTTTAGTTTAATTGGATATTGTAAAAGTACTAGAGATAATTTAGTACCATCAGTATGGGGAACTATTGATAAAAGAGATGATCCATATGCGCCATCTAGCAAAAGACGTCTTTGTGAGATTTTGTAGGAAAAATAATATATAAATATAAAATATGTCATTTAACTTATAGAATTGCCATGAGATTTTTTTTTAGAAAACATGAAAAGAAATGTTAAATATCAGTTAGCTAATATTTTTTTACATACCCACCATTTTCTTCATCTTTCATTCATAACATTAGCATTTTTTACATTTTTAATATTTTGGTATTATCATCTTTATTTATTTATTATTATTTATTATCGTATTATTGTATTATATTCATTCAGAAAAAATTTTATATAAATATAAAATAGAAATAAAAATAAAAAAATAAAATAAAAGGATCATATACATGGAATAAATGGTTTATATTAAATTTTAAATTAATTCATAGCATGGATCCATTACAATTTCTTTACAACAGTGTATGGAACGAATAATCCTCTTGTCAACTTAAATTTGGATTTGTAATCTATTTCACTAAACATATTGGCATCTTTTGTGGAGAATTTCTCTGTTATATATTCAAACATGTAATAGTTATTTTAGAAATTGTTTATAAACTAAATTATCTGTTTCTTCTACACAATGATAACCAAGTTTATTTTTAAATTTTTCAAATGCTTCATAGTCTTGTAATGGAACTTGTATGCCAACCAACACTTTTCCTACATCTGTACAATTATTTGAATATTATGATTTAACAATTGGTTCTAATAATAATAATAATGATTATTATTATTGATTATTATTAAAACTTGCCTGAACCATGATTACGATAATGAAATAATGATATATTCCAACTTGATTTCAATCCAGTCAAGAATTTTTTTAATGCTCCAGGTCTTTCAGGGAATTCTAAATATAATATGATATTCCATAAATTATTTCATAAATTACAAATGTATACATTTGTGTATTAAGCAAACAAACAGAACTTTTAGCTTACCAAATCTAAATAATCTTTCATTTTCAACAATACTTCTACCTCCTACCAAATATCTTGCATGACTTTTTGCTATTTCATTATCACTTATATCTAGACCATGCATATCATCCTTCTTTAAATTTTCTAAGATAGTTTGTAATTCTGTACCTCTATTATTGACTCTAAATGACATATATATCCATGCCTTTTCTGAATCAGAATACCTGTTTATATTATAATAAGAGAAAGTGTGAAAGATTAATGGTAGCCAATATTTATATACATAAAATATATAAAATATATCAATCTAATATATTTTAAACTTAATTAATACCTATATGAAAATTCTGTAATGGGACGTGGATCAATATGATTATAAAGTGCGATAAAACTGTTATTATATGAGCACATGATATAAGTATATATAAATCAAATTGACCATAATTAATAAATTTATATTATAATATACCTTCCAGGACGTTCAGGAATAATTACTGAAATTAAAGCTTCATGTTGTTCACCAAACCCAGCTCGTTCAGCTACAAATCTCAAACGTTCAAAATTCATATTTGCACCTGAAGTAATGGCCACAAAACAACCCCCAACTACATTATTTTCTGCAGTATATTTCTTTACACCTGCTAGTCCTAATGCACCAGCTGGTTCTACAATAGACCTTGTGTCTAATAATAATAATAAAGTTGTTTTAATTTTCTTTGTATATATATAGTATACATATATAATATAGATATGTTATACCTTCAAAAATATCTTTAATAGCAGCACAAATTTCATCATTTGTCACTGTAATCATCCCATCAACAACTTCAGTACACACTCTAAAAGTTTCTTCACCTACAACTTTTACAGCTGCTCCATCTGCAAATAACCCAACTTCTTTCAACACAACTCGTTTATTTTCCTTCAATGATAATGTCATTGCATTAGCATCAACAGCTTCTACACCAAAAATTTTAATGGAGGGACATATTCTTTTTATATAACTGCCAATACCAGCTATAAGTCCACCTCCACCTACACATGCAAAAATTGCATCTATTTCATTAAAAGAATGTTGTCTGAGGATTTCCATCCCAATAGTACCTTGACCAGCAATAACATATGGGTCATCATAAGGTGGTATATTGGTATATTTGTGTAGATTTTGTAAACGAAGGCACTCTTGTTTTGCCTCATCAAAGTCAGATCCATGTAGTACAACATTTGAGCCCAATCTTTCTACATTTTTGTATTTAATACTTGGTGTAGTTCTAATCTCTCATAAGAGTATAAAAGATATCAATGAATTTAATTAAAAAAATCATATTTATTTTATATATATCATTACTTACAATGGCATTACAATAGTTGCAGGAAGACCGAGTTTTTTTGCTGACATTGCAACCCCTTGAGCATGATTTCCTTAATAATAAGAAATGTTACATATTAAAACCATTTCCAAAAATAATATTAATAATAATATTATTATTTGTTAAAAAACCTGCAGAACAAGCAATCACTCCTCTCTTTCTTTCTTCTTCAGTTAAATGTGCCATTTTATTATAAGCACCCCTAATTTTGAAACTAAAAACATCTTGTAAGTCCTCTCTTTTTAATAAGATTTTGTTATTTAATTTTAATGATAAATTTATTGCATGTACTAATGGTGTTTCTTTAACTATTTCATAAACTCTAGAAGTTAAAATTAATCGTAAATAATCTGGATGATTTGGAGTGTCGCTAGAATCAAAATAAGAATCACTTGATGTTAAGTGTGGTGATGGCGAGGAAGTATCAGTTTCTAAAATTGCTTTTCCTGTTGGCAACGGATAAATTGTTGTTGACGTTTGAATAATATTTTCTGAATTTGGTTGAATCATTATAATTAATTTAAAAAAATTTGAGATCACATCTTAATTTTAAAAAAGGAGATAGATGTACATTAATATTAATCTAATCTTCACGCGCCCAATTTTTATATACTCACTCACCTACCATAAATATCTGACCATCTACGTCATGTGACGTCAAATGAAAAAGAGTCCTTACTAATTTTTACTTTGCTAAGTCGACTTGTACTTGATATCAAAATCGCTAAATTACAAAAGATTCGAAAGGTTTGATATGGTGTTAATGAAAACATTTAGCAAATAGTCTAAAAAGCGAATTTCAATCGGAATCTTTACATGCAATAAAAGGTCAAATTTCTACGTAATGGATTACATATATCTACAACACGGTGTCAGCATAAATTAGTTCGTGAAATGGTTTAAAAAAGTATCCGACCACCTCGTAATTTTATTATATAAAACGTTTGATAGAGTTGACAGAATGCAAATTTTAAGGTTTTACGTTTTGTTGTCTATACTTGATCAATTTTTCTCAAATTTTAACCATATATAATTCAAGATGTTTTAAGTGGACTTACTTAATGACATAATTCATTCCATGATTCAACGGAGTTTGAACCTTTTTACTAAGCTCTAATTTTCATAAAAATCATGGATTTTTTGTCTAACTTAAAATTTTCATCCTAAATTCATTAATAATACAAACTCGACGAGACTTTAAGTTTATATGCAAGTTAACTTTAAAAAACATGTGTTTACTTATGCACCAGTCCCGGTTTGGTTGATAAAAATTTGAAATGAATAAAGCGTAACATTTCCGATTATTAAAATGATCATGTATTATATATGATTATTGCGAATTATGCCACTGAATTATAGAATCAAAAGAAAAATAAATTACGTTCCAGGAATACTGTCTTTCACACTCGTCCAGATTTTAGATTAGCACTTTTTGATCACCAAATAATTTCTCAGAGGCATGATGTAACTGAAACACATGATATTTGGAATGATTACATATGGCATTGGCAAAAACAATTTTCTCTTTTATTTACTATATAAATTAGCAAAGCAAGGAGAAACAGTGTTGTTGGACAGAAACATACTCAACAAATGCATTGTTTTTGACGACAGAATGGTAAGTTTGGGAAAGCTACGTTATCTATTGAACAAAAAGACTACATGATATCTTGTTGATACAAGCCACTCCCGTTATAATGACACTCTCCGTGCAAGCAAAAAATGTTAGTATAACCAGAATGTCACTTTGAACATAAAAATCTATTTTTTAATTCTTGTAAGCTATCTAATATGTGATCCTCCACTATAAACTGTGGTTCTAGTCTTATCCGTTCCTCTGATAGCGCGAGGATTTTAATGCTTATGTATTAGTAATGGTTTAAGTTTTTCACCTTTAGAATTACATACTAGCATAACGGAAACTCTCTCTTTGTACCAGGTGTTTCACCATGAGCTAAGGAGCATAGTGGACACTGTTGCAGATCAAATGTGACGGATGTGACATTCAATAATTTATGCAGTGTAACAAATAATTTTCAATTGTTTTAAAATAGAAAAAAGACGTATATGTGAAAAAAAAAACTGGTGTAGCAAATATATATTTTTTTGAATGGAAATATTTGTTATTTTTGTCTTTACTGTTTGGTTAACCAAGATCCTTCAGATCCTCGCTAGATCAAAAGTTAAATATGAACTAAAGTTTGGAGTAAAGTCTACACGTATGCACACAATTTATTTGAATTTAAATATTTTATTTTGAAATTTACCAATCTTTAATTAAATCAAAAGCATTTTTAAAGTCTAAAGCTATTATTTGTTCTTCAGTTATATCTTCCTCCACCTCTTCATCTTCATCTCCATCTCCTGTTATGCGGGATTCTTCATCTTCATTCAACAACTCATTCAAATTTTCTTTTTCTAGTCTTTTTATGTAAGAAGTTACGTTGGAAATTATACCTTCTTTATAAAGTTCCAAGCAATAGGTACATTGATTTTTTTTCATTTCATAACAATATTTGTGGAATGCATGACCACATATTAACATTATTGCATCTTGATCATAATTATTTTCAAAATTAGAATAACAATAATCACATTTATTATAAGATGGTGGTTGCTGGGTATGATATCCTGTTGGAATACACTTTGATTTGACTTCTTTATTTAATGTTTTTAAGTAATATTCTTTGTTGCTAAGTTTTTTACTTCCTCCCACATTTAGATAAATTTTATGAAAATAATCAATTAAGAACAAACTTGTTTTATATTTAAGGAAATTAAACGTGGATTCTTTGTAAGGGCATTTTTTCAATTTTTTAAATGTGTTGATAAATGATTGATCCTGAGCATCTAATACTAATGCTTGTAAAGTTATTGCTTCAGCTGAATATTGTGGACTGGTATTAGCTCTAATTTTACTATGCCAATTTTCAACATAGTAGTCATTGAAATTAACAAGTTGAGATTGAATTGCTTCAAGAAATGGATGGTTGTTGTCTTTCCAGTAGAAATAATTGGAAAGAAAGGCAAGTGGTATTTTATTATAATTTTTCCATTTCCATCTTAAAGCAAAGCTTCATAATCTAAAAATTGTATCTATGTATTCTTTGAAAGAACCTGATCGAAAAATAATAGCATAAATGTCCAATGCAGCTGGAATCAAATTATCCAAAAGATCTATCTATCATTGTTTGATATTCCAAATCTTTACACACACCACCAAATTTTTTATATATTTCTGAAGAGACTTCAATCCAGGTAGACCTAAGAAGTTGAAGGAGTTGATTTATTCTCCAGGGCTTGGGTTTGCTGCCAACACTTTATTAATTCCAAAGACTGATTTATACATTATTTCAAAAAAGTCCCAATGCACAACCACTATATTTTCCCTCATGTTCAATGAGACATGTAATGGACCAAGAATTGGAACAAAATTATTGATTATTGAAGGTAGTTGGTGAAAATTATTATTTTGCTGATTTTGATGTTTATGAAGAAGAGTTATTGCTTTACATATAAATAATTGGCCTGGGAAGTCTGCAATAACTGGTATAATATTATTTTGTAGGTAATTATTTAAAGAAGGAATTCCAGTTATCATTTTAAGAGCATTTAAATAATCATCCAAATTTTTTAAATTTAATTCTTTGATATCAACTAAATGGCAATTTTTCATAGATCTATCATCACAAAGACTTTCTATGGCATAATTATATGAATGAATTGACAAAAGATCTAGCATATCAAATTGTTCAAAGGTAGCTGCATTATTTCTCAGCCAACTATGTTTTACTGCATTATAACTTATACTTAATGAACTAAAATATTTATCATTTAAATATTTAATAATCCTATCTGCTTCAATATTTTTAGGGTTATGTACTGGAATGCCATCAACATATGCTGGTACAGCATTACTAAAACACAAGTAGCCATATGACAAGCTGTTGAAAGTGTTGTTGTGTTGGGATTTCTGTAACCATGGATTGAATGGTAATCATCTATATTAAAACAAAATAGTTTACTTGCATTCTCTTCAAAATAATTATTAATTTTTTCTTTATGATTACTAGAAATTTTCTTCTTATGTTTTATAAGACACTGAAATTCCTAATCTTGACATTATATCAATACATTCTACAGTTGCACCAGAAGCAGATAAGTAGAGTCCTATTTCTAACTGAAGTGAATTATTTCATTGATTTTTTAATCCAACTAATAAGTAACAGAATCCTACAAGTGATTTTTTGGCATTTTCTATACTATCTTTATTATCTCCAGACTTTTTAAATGATAAGAAGATGTGAACCAACTCATCAAAAAAACCTTTTAGCTCTGGC